CTCCAGAAACCAGAGGCACGGCATGGGAGTTCCTCTCGTACTACCCCATACTTCCCTCACGATACCTGCGAGATCCCTTCACAATCTCACACACATAATATATACATATATATATATATATATATTTAAACATATATGCACTCTGGTGGCGTTAGGTGCGGTATGGGTGGTCAAGTATGTCCGGGGAGTTTGGTAGGCGACGCGCGAGCTTTTTCATGAATACGTTCTAATAATGATCTTGTCGGCGTTTTGATTTTACTTTTTGGTGGTAATGAGGCATTGTTGGTTGTTGTTTTTTGGTCTGCATTGTTTGGCGACTCTTACGGTATTGAAAACGGAATGCGACACGCTCCGAAGAACGTGCCGCACCCCGTGAATTGATTCAGCATTGCCGAGAGGTTATGAGAAAAGATGTATAGAGACTATTCTGTAGATGATGTATCTTATGTAGCGGAACCGTTGTTGGTTGATTCGTTGTGGTTCGGTTGGGAACGTCGCTTTTTGGGGGGTTGGTCGGAACCGTGTTCGGGCCGTTCGTTGCGTGTTTTTTCTTTCACCCACCCCTGCGCCACACATGGTGACCTTGTTTGCGTGTTCGGCGCAGTGGTTGCTTGGAATTGCCCCAACGCGACGCCAAGGTCTGGCACCAAGTTCTTTGTTTGGGAAACCAAAATTTCCACAATTGCGGCACCAGGTCCGGCTTTGTTCGGGCTTCCCCGTGATACGGTCGCTGCTTATTGGGTTGGCGAAGCCGAGCGCCTTCAAATAAGGCGCGTTTTTTAATGGGTAAAGCGCCCGAACGGCGAGGCTGTAGTGGAAAATAAACGCTATCGACCAATAAGTTTCACGGTCGAGTGCCCGGTTTCCCGTGCTGGGGAATCCAATGCCCACGCCCCTTGGGGGCGCCGGCCACCCCATCTCGCTACCAAGGCCCAGTGCCCCGTATTGTCGGGGGAAGCCAAGCGCCAGCAGCGTTCGCCACTTGGAGAACTTTGCGGCGCCCGGCTTACGGCACCGCACTGTGCCGGGGCCCGCCGCGCCTCGCCGGGACATGGTTTTATCCTTGTCGGTCTTGGGGCGCTTGCTACCGCGCCGTCGAAAGCACCATCTGCAGAACGTAAACGAGCGCGGGGGTTGGAAGAGAAGGCCAAAACCTTGCCTTTTCGATGCGGCCACTGTGAATTTGGAGCCCTAAGTAAGACGGGGCTCTTATCCCACATTCGTGCCAGGCATCGTTCCCCACAAGAACCGCCACGCACAGTGGCACCGCGACCTGCCCCATGCTGCCCGCTATGTCGCAAGGCTATGGGCAACGCTGGAGGACTGGCAAGCCACATGAAATACAAGCACCCCGACGGACTAAAGAACAAGATGCCAGGCCAACACAAAGACACACTAAGCCCCCTCAAGCGAGAGAGAGGGGACTCCCCTACCGCGCACGCCACTCCTATAAAGCAGGAAAAGGGTGAAGCAGAATTACCCTATCTTAAAAAGCGTATGGGAACAGAGGCTTCCTCTCCGACCGACGACCAGCGAAAGAACGAGGGAGCCGCCCCCGTACCGCCCGAGCGGCGGGGAGAGATACAATGCTTGGTGTGTTTGAAATGGTTCGCTTCTCTTGAATCCGTTCGNTAAAGCAGGAAAAAGATGACGTAGAATTGCCACATCTTACAAAGCGTATGAGAACCGAGGCTTCCTCTCCGACCGACGAGCCACAAAAGAACGAGGGAGGCGTCCATCTACCACCCGAGCGGCGGAGAGAGACACAATGCTTGGTGTGTTTGAAATGGTTTGCTGCTATTGATTCAGTTCGACCGCACTGCAGAAGATTTCATGAGGGCCACGGGGTTCCAATAGCGGAGAAGCGATGGAGGCTTCTGATAACTTGCCTCTTTCAGTCTTTTCATGCGCAACGTGCGGATTCCAGTGCCACAGCAAACACGGACTCACTAGGCACCGCATGGCCAGCCACGGATTCAGGCCGGACGTAGTGAAACCAAGCCAACGTGAACAGTGCGAAGAGACGAGCATGCACCTATTGAGCTGTCCCGCATTAAAGAGTCTACGGTGTCACTTTGGGGTGGATGGGGGCGACATGGAGAAGTTGTGCTTCATGCAGAAGTTGGCCAAATACCTGCTTGCAGTGGAAAAGTTTTGTCCTCAACGGCCTTCCCCGACAGAACCGACGCCAACCATACAGGTCCAGGAGTAGTCCCCTCTCCCCTCTAAGCTTCGTCCTCCCCTCTAAATTTTTGTCGTCCTTAGCTGCCATCACGTGCCTCCCCCTGGGAGAGCTTCAACCAATGGGGCGAGTAGGTTTCCCAGGGCCCACTGAAAGGAATCGGCCGCCGCTTCCCTCTGTGTGTGTTCTTTACTCGACCGGCGCAGCGGAAAAGACAACAAAATACCCACAAAGAACAAAACACAAAACAAAAAACCCAAACCAACAAAAACAAAAATCAAAAAAAGCCCCAAAACAACAAAACACACAGCAAAACAAAGGGACCTTTTTACACAGGGGAAACTCAACAGTAATGAACGTGCTCTACGATGGTGGCTGATGGAGCGGAGCCATCGACGAAAGTCGTGAAGACACGAGGAAGAACAAAAAATAACCGGAGTCGCCGATGAAGGACTGATGGGCCTCAGTGCAAGTCGAAGTATTGTGAAGATTGTGCTCCAACAGTGTAAGCACCTTATAGATGTGTCTCCTCTCGCATCCATCGAGAGACTGGAAGAGGTATATCTGTCTGAGTGTGAAGGAGTGAGGTGTTTTGGTGCCCTTGGCAGGCTACCTAGGCTACGTTGTCTTTATTCGAGAGAAAAAAGACATTAAAGAAGAGAAATTGGTGTCATTTAGTACACGAGTGAGAGTTCACAGGTGAGTGCCATCCTGTTAAAGTCATGCTCTTTTTGTTTTGAAGGGGTTTTCGTTTTGTCATCGATGTTGTTTAAAGGTTTTTCTTTCTGCGGTCGAAATATATATCATGAAGATATATGCGGTGTGGCTCATGATCTTGTGGTGCTACCCCTGGTGTTCGCTTTGAGCTTTGGTTCCCGGCCGACGATTTCGCTCTGCGCCGTGTTCCTCTTGGGTGAGGAAAAACACTAATACTCGTATGTGCCGGAAACACAAAAGTAACTTTTTTTGGGTGGTGGGCGACGTTCTGTTGCGAATCTTTTGTGCGTTTCATGGGTGAAAAAACTGGAGAGGTAATAAAATGCGGTTTCTTGCTTTTTCGGGTTTCTTGCTTGTTGCTTTGGGAGGGTCTCATTGATCGAAAAGGGCCCCCTCATGCGCCGTTGTTTCTTTTTGTTTGAAGCAGATTACTCCTGGTTGGGCGCAGCTCTCGCAACAGGGGAAGCAGCGCGTGGGAAGTAACAACGCAACATATGATGTGGGGAAGGTGCTTTCCCACTGAAGAGAACGATGTGGGCTGAGCCATGCGCTTATTTGTT